TCCGAAAAATTATGACAAAAAAAATACAACTTCAAAAAACTCTTATGAAGTACGTTGGATTGTCTAATTTGCAAAAAGGGGTAATTTGGGGGATATATGTACTGTTCTGACATTCTTGGACGTCAAGAAATTAGATTGGCTGTCAGTACTTCAGGATTGATCAATATGCAGATCTCTACCATAGTTTTGTGAACTCTATAACTTTCCTACACACTAAAAAATACATCCTAATTTGGGTTATTTTCACCAAAGACATGTAGCAGAATACATCTTGGCCTAAATTTATGAAGATCAATTATTTATTTGCAAACTTTTATAACAAAAACAAAGAAAAACGTGTTTTTTTTTCAAATTTTTTTTGTTAATTTAGCAAAAAATAAAAACCCCAGTGGTGATTAAATACCACCAAAAGAAAGCTTGGTTTGCAAATATTGAAGATTCTAACTACCAGCAAGAATGAGTCGGACTCCTTACATTTAAAGAACATCTGTCATTTTAGATCCATCATGGCAGTGCCTATTAGCGGGCATCCACTCACCTGCTGCCGCCACGTCCCTCACTTTGCTGTGTCACTGCCGCATCACCAGCCGTCCCATTAAAGTGAATGGAACTGTCGGTGAGTCAGCAGCGGGTCAGAGGAGGAGCTGCTGCGGGACAGAGATGACAGTTGCTCTTTAAAAATTATGATTTAAATCGAGCCTTTTCACTAGTGATTTAAATCATGATTTAAATCAACTTGATTTAAATCAAATCCACCCTGGTGATGACAAGTCATATTTCCACCATAATCATAAACCAGTTTCAAGGCTTATTGATAACCCCAGCCTTATAGCATTTAACTCAATGTTGTAACTACATTTTTCTCCAACACCATTACAGATCATTATATTTGTCAATAGGCTTGGATTGCCACCCAGAACATATCAATCTGTGATTCATTTTGTAGGTAGAGAACTATTTACAGCTATCTTGATTTCACATTGTATATCACTGAAAATTCTGAACATATACTCCAACAAAACAGTAAGCTGCAGCTTAATTCCAAAAGAATACAAACAAAACCGCAACATATAAATTTGCTGATGCGTATGAGATCACAAAGTCTAGATACAATAGCTGACTTCACCAATGATGTGCATGCCAGCTCCTGTTGGCTTTTTAAAATTAATCCTTTTCATTATTTAGGATGAGGTGAGGCAGGCGTTTAAGCATGCACCAGTTTTTGTAATTCAAAACATCAACATCCAGAAAGCATATCTGACATCACCCTTATGTCTGTCAATGGAAATGCAAATCAATATTTAATTTTGGATTTTGTCACACTTCAGTAAAATCACGTGTTACATTACAATAGGATTATTGAGTTGTGTGTACATTTCCTGGACTGTGAAAAATAAATCTTATCCACTGAGTCAACTAAAGGGGAACACCAGAAAAACAGCTAAAGACACCATTGAAATATCTCTGTGCATGATAACCCAATAGAAGATTTTTCATTCTGTACAGTTAGTCTTGTGATTGACACAACTGACAGCCAGGAGCACCAAACTGATAACTGGATAGGATGATGCTGATTCATTGTCCAATAAGTTATATTGCTGAACCAGGAAATAAGTGGTGTTTCCTTGCGAACATGGTAACATGATGGCACAACTTCCCCAGAAATGCAATTTGCTGCTTATGTGTTTGACTAACTGCTTTTCCTAAGCTGATATGAAATTGAAGCTCCCTTCCCCTTCTCCATTGCAATGCTTTTGTGTTTGCGGCAGGAAGTCTTCACTTGTACATGTTTAGAATGACTAAATCACTGTAGGGCAAACCTAAAGTTTCTAAATACATTAGGGGAAACCTTCATTGCATCACCATGTCTAATGTCTCCTACACAATGCATACATTTAGCTTCTAAAGCATGCTTCATGCAGATTTAAAACTCAGAACTGCTGGTTTACATTCATTTTTCTCACAAATAGCTTTTGTTGATTTTTTTACAGTATAAAAGTAAGGGACAATCAAAGAGGTTTGTACAAGAAGGGTGCAAAGTACCACAGACAGAGTCTACTGTTCAAATGTTGATAGGAGGAAAAAGGGGAAAGGCAGGGTATAGGGTGGGGAAGGTAGGAGGTCTTGGGGGTGATGGGAAGGAAGAGGAGGTTAAAGTGCTGGAATTGTGTTCAAGTGCTAGCCTGGAAGTTGATCATATATTTTTATGCAGGCAAGTACTCTGTAGACAAGGCACAGTGATGATGCTATATTACGAAGAAATAGACACAAAGCAGCAGTGTTTATGAAGCATTATACAACTGTATGGCTTTTCTCCTGTTTCTGGTCTGGTATGTAGCTCTAAATAAACATAATTATCTGGGGTTTGAATGTAAGGAACATAATCATCTGGGGTTTGAATGTAAGGAACATAATCATCTGGGGTTTGAATGCAAGAAACATAATCATCTGGGGTTTGGGTGGTTTAAGGGGTATACAGTATAAGAAGGGTAGGACTGGAAAGAAGTTGAGTTGGGGAATGTTGGGGGAGAATGGACATGCAAATTGAGTAGGTGTGCGGGGATAGAGGATGGGGAAGCAGGTAGGGGGGGGGGGGGGGGGGGGGCGTAAGGGAGCACTGTACTAGGATGCCTGGATTCCTTTAAGAATGGGTAATCCATTAATGAGATAATAGCCTTGTGCCAGAGAACTGTATATGTCTGTCATCTGTAGGGAATTTTTTATATGTGGCACCTGCATACAGGTGCCATCTAGTCCAGGTGTGCAGATAGTGAAGAAGGAATGTGTGCTGGTTGGAAATCTAGGATGCAATCTCTACGGAGGATGATAATGAAGTGTACCTCCAGAACGCTTGAAGTCAGGGGCATGACCACCGAGGACATATGATGGAGGTACTGGGGTACAGTACCATCCTGAGCTTATCTTGTAGCTTGTTTTTTGGATATTAACATTGATGGAGCTATTAAGCATGATAATATTTAGATATTCCCATTTTTCTGCACAGAATAATTGGTCTAGGTCAATTTCCTAAAAAATGGGAAGAGGGGAGGCCTTTCAGAGAAAGCAAATGAGATAAAGAGGAGTAGATTTCATAGATTAAATGGTAAAATGATTCCTTGGATACACATAAGGTTTTAAATGAGGTGAGTGATGGATTAAAAAGGTCTTTGTATTTGGCAGATTTTAGGAACAGACATATCTGGAAATATGTCTAGTACAGCAGTCTGTAGCCTATACTTATGGTATAGAGATTGCTAGGGCCTCAGAAGACTTCTCATTTGAAGGAGTGTGCAGTAAGTCTGATGGTCTGACTGACATTCCTGTTCAAGGTCAGTGGCAGGAAGTGTTGAAATCATTGGAAAAGGGTAGGTCAGCTATAGCAGCCATGATATCTTTCCCGATATGTATCTTTCCTGTAATACTATAATGTGTGTCTCCAATCTTCGCAGATTATTTAAAATAATGTGTCAATGTATATTTTACCAATTTTTTTTTTTTTTTTTACACAGTCTTCTCATACATATTTCATTGTGAGAAAGAACAAGAATCAGTCTGTGATACTGTTCAAAGACCTCTCCAGCTGTAGAAACTGTTCAGTTAGCAATGGAAAATATTTATTTTTCAGTTCACTAAACCCTTCATGTTCTGTGACATAATCCTAAATGGTTTGTCTTGGATTCATTTGCTATTTCCATGAGTAGCACTGTATAGAAGGGAGTGTCCTGCTGCCATACTTGTAATCAAAATACCAAAGTCTTGGATGAGAGTGCAAACCTCCTTATGATTACTACTCTTTCTTTAATTCTGGTTTTTCAGATAAAAATCAACTGTCTTTACTTTAAAAATTAAAGAATAAAGTTAAGATAAACATGATATCCATCTTCGAATATTCTCCCAAATACTATCTAAAATATATATCACAATTTATATATTCAGAATATTACTCTGAGCTCTGTATCTTTAAATGGCCATGGATTTAGAAGAAATAGTTTTTACTACACATTTGGTCCTGTCATTTGTGGTTTTTGTTTTGTGCAATATTTTGCTAAAAATGTTAAATAAAGCAAACTACAATTCTGTAGCACATACAAAAATATTCTCTGTTTACTTTAGTTTACAAATAAGCATATAGAGAAAGTACCTTTTCAGATGCATATATTCATAGTCTATCACATATGCATGCATATAATATAGTAGGGTTGGTAACGCTGTCAAATAAATAGCCTTAGATACTAAGTTGACTTTGCAAACAATGTAGTGTATTAGTGTTTTTGTTATTAGTGTCAGAGGAACCAGTCCTGGCACTGCCAACCAAGGGTCCCATACCCATAATTTGTTGAATTTACTTGAGCAGCCTCTGTGTTGAAAGATTCATTTCTCCTTCAATAATGATAATTTATGCAGATTTTTTTCAATTCACTGTAGGTGGGAGGATCTACAGATAGCCGTTTTTGAGTTATTAACTTTCAGGCCATAAAGAGTAATCTAGTCACTGGGGCAAATACCTATGAAAGGAGAGACTGATGGTTAGCAAGCAAAGTATACACACAAGTGGTCCAGTGGTATTGCAACATGGAATGTATTCTTGATGGTGGTTATAATCATGTTCCAATAGCAGAATAACTTATACATCTCCATATCATATGGCTGAGATTTTGCATTTTCATCATGACATATGGGATAATTTGGAGTATCTCTAGGACCCTACTGATAGCACTTCTGTGGGGTGCAATAGACTTCATGGAAGATTGATAGTAAGTGAGGAAGTCACGAGGTCACACAACTAAATATGACAGGAGGCGGAGTTTAATGATGTCATTACAAAAGGAAGTTCGTGAGCGGCCATCTTTACATGTGGTATTCACAAAAATATATGCTTTGTGAGTAGTTTTTAATCTTTTGGGCTTATTAACTGCTTCCTGTCTGCCCTTTAGCAAATATCCTGCTACAGGGCGGCACGGGTGCGCCAAATCACATATATATATATATATATATATTGGATTTTGCATTTCCGTGTAGGGGACACGCGTGCGCCCTACCTGCGCCGCCATTCGCGGCTGTCAATCACCGGGTCCCAGCCAGTGATTACTCGCCGGCGCCTGGTGATTGCCAAGGATCTCCGATGGGGGAGCAGAACTGTTAGTAAACAAAACAGTTCTCCTCCCTGTCAGCTCGTGCACACTGCTTTGCATGGCTGTGCACAGCACCTACCCGCACCGCCATTCGTGGCTGTCAATCACCGGGTCTCGCCCGGTGATTACTTGCCGGTGCCCGGTGATTGCTGAGGATCTTCGACGAGGGAAGGAGAACTGTTAGTAAACAAAACAGTTTTCTTCCCTGTCAGCTCGTGCATACTGCTTTGCATGGCTGTGCACAGCACAGCCATGCACAGCAGGGTGCTTACAGTGAAGCACACAGATACAACCCCATAGTAAAACACACCCAGCACACAATTAACCTTTTGATCACCCAGATGTTAACCCCTTCCTGCCCAGTGCCATTAGTACACTGTCGGTGCTTTTTATTAGCACTGATCACTGTATTGGTGTCACTGGGGATGTCAGTGACACCAAGCCAGTTCCCCCCAGTGTCAGAATGTCCGCTGCAGTCCCACAATCTCGCTATAAGTCGCTGATTGCCACTATTGCTAGTAAAAATAAAAAATCCCATTATATATACCGCCATTTGTAAACGCTGTAACTTTCACGTAAACCAATTAATTTACACGTATCGGGATTTTTTTTTAACACAGACATGTAGCAGAATACATTTTGGCCTAAATTTATGACGAAATTTGATTTTTTACTGGCCATTTTTAATAGCAAAAAGTCAAAAATATTGTTTTTGTTCTCAAAATTTTCGGTCTTTTTTTTTTTTTTTTATAGCGCAAGTAATAAAAACCACACAGGCTATCAAATACCACTGAAAGAAAGCTCAATTCATAGGAAGGACGTAAATTTAATTTGGGTGCAGCGTTGCATGACCGCGCAATTGTCAGTTAAATTAACTGTCAGGATCCTGTCCACGGCAGAAGTTCTGGAAGATCTGGCATTTCTGACAGTACCCTGCATGGCCGCAGATGCACACATCAGCCTCAGTTTGGTGCCAGACGGCCTTTATAAGGAGGCTCATCACTTCCTCAAGTTGCTGGATGATCTCTAGCTCCCCGTGCCTTGTTCATGTTTCCTGTGACCTCTTGATACCGACTCGGCTTGCTCCTAGACCTGTCTACTCTACTTAACCCCTGATCTGACCTCAGTTTGGCTAAAGGATACTCTCTTTCTCGCTCCTCTGTGTATAACCTTGGCTATCCCATCTGGCTACGTCTGCTCTGATTCCCACCTGGTACTTGACCTTGGTTTGAACCGGCTATCCAGTAAATCTCTAAATCCTGGAAGGGCTTGCATATCTCACACAGGCGCCACCTGTCTGAAGACCTATCTGCTGTGCTTCTGGGTGGACCACCAACCAGCACTCCTACAGGCGACCTGTGCCACTTTGGGCCTGGCTCCCGCTGTCCCACTCTCAGGGTTAGCTGGAACTTAGCCGTAAGGGAAGCCCTCTCTCCATTGGCCTCCATCACCAGGTATGTAGTATCATCCAGCCAGTATGTCCGAGGCTGAGAGAGGCGCTTCCGCACTAGAGGCCCTGTGCCAACAAATGACAGCATTTACTCAAGCAGTGAAAGATCTACAGCAAGGATACTTCCAGTTGGAAGGGCGTATTCACTCCCTCTCTACTTCTGCGGACCAGGAACCTTCTGCCAGTTCTAACCCAGTAGCCGCACCTCTACCCAGTTGGATCGGTATCTACGGGAAAGATGTGCTGAGCGTACTCAGACCTTTCGACCCACATGGGTTCTGCCAAAGATTCCAGGACCAACGGCTCCTGCCCCTGCTCCGCAACCCATCTGCAGTTCTGAGGTAGAACCAATGCAAAATGGCCTTCTCCGACTTGCCCTAACTCCGGAAGAATGGCTACGCAGACAGCAAGGCAACCTATGTCCCTACTGTGGGGCCACGGGCCATTTCCTGCGTAACTGCCCAGTACGACCAAGTAAGTCCAGCCAGCACCATCCTTCGTACCTTCAGTTATCCGGGACTTTAACCATCCATGTTATTCTCCACATGTCATTGCAGGTGGCTGGAAGGGACGTCAAGTTACGGGCAGTCGTTGACTCAGGAGCCTGTAGCTGTTTCTTGGACATCAAATTTGCCAAGGACTTACACATCCCTCTTCTGCCTAAGAAACAGAGACTTGACATATTACTAGCGGATGGCACTACTCCGAGTTGAGTTACTTCCAGGGCAGAAATACCATTTGAGTGAATTTTCCCATTGTTCGAGCTTGAACTGGAAGCCCTCCGGCATTACTTAGACAAGAACCTCGCTAAAGGATTCATCCGCCCCTCTTCCTCCCCTGCTGGGGCTGGTATTTTCTTTGCTGAAAAAAAAGATCGGTCTCTCAGACCCTGCATTGACTACAGAGAGCTTAACAAAATTACCATTAATAATCAGTATCCCTTCCTCTTGTGCCCGACTTGTTTCAGAGATTTTGAACAGCTCGAGTGTTCACTAAATTGGACTTACAGGGGGCCTACAATTTAGTCCGTATAAGGGAGGGCGATGAGTGGAAGACCGCGTTCAGAACACGCTTTGGACATTTCGAGTACCTGGTGATGCCATTTGGGCTGTGTAATGCCCCTGCTACGTTTCAGCACTTTGTAAACGATATCTTTAGAGTACCTTGACCTTTTTGTAATTGCCTATATGGATGATATCCTAATTTTCTCTACCTCACTGGAACTCCATCGAGATCATGTTAGGAAAGTGCTAAGGATGCATGGCTTGTACGCAAAGGCGGAGAAGTGTGAGTTTGAAAAGCAGTCCATCCAGTTCCTGGGGCTCATAATTTCCACTGAGGGAATCTCCATGAACCCTCAGAAAGTATCTGCTATCCTGGAATGGCCTGCACCTTCAGACAGGAAAGGGGTCCAAAGATTCGTGGGCTTCGCCAATTTCTATTAGAAATTTATTAAGGGCTTTTCCACCATCATTGCCCCTATTACTCAACTCGCTCACCAGCATACACATTTCTGCTGGAGCCAGGAAGCTCAAATAGCATTCGAGCAGTTAAAAGATCAGTTCACTTCTGCTCCGTTGTTACAGCATCCAGAATCAACACTTTCCTTCATCCTGGAGGTGGATGCATCTGAAGTTGCTACAGGAACCGTACTCTCTCAGTGCCAGGGCCCAAAGGCTCTGCTTCACCCAATAGCCTTTTGTTCTAGGAAACTGAGCCAAGCTGAAAGGAACTACGATGTGGGTGATAGGGAACTTTTAGTGATCAAGATAGCCTTCGAAGAATGGAGATACCTCATGGAAGGAGCCAACCACCTAATTATGATTTTCACGGATCATAAAAATCTGGAGTATCTAAGATCTGCCAAGTGCCTAAGACCTTGGCAGGCTAGATGGGCTTTATATTTCTCCAGGTTTAATTTCAACATAACCTTCCACCCAGGATCCAAGAACTGGAAGGCAGATGCTCTTTCCCGTATGTTCCCGGACCCAGAGGAGCCTTCTGCCTCCAACACCATCTTGTCTGCACCAAATTTTTTGCTGATCCAACCCAGTCTAAAGTCTTCGATCAAGCAAGCCTCTGTCCTGAACCTGAACAAGATTCGTTAAGAAAGCAGGATGATCTTCTTTGGCATAAGGATAAGATCTTTGTACCCCAAGAAGTAAGATCTCCAGGTTTCAGGGCTTTTCATGATCATCAACTGGCTGGACACTTTGGAGCCCGTAAAACAATGGAACTAATCCAGCGATCCTTTTGGTGGCCCAACTTGAATCAAGACTGTAGAGCCTATGTGAAATCGTGCACAGTGTGTCTATGTAACAAGGGAGACAAAACCAAGGCTTGGGGGTTACTGAGTCCCCCATTCCTGACGTCCCTGGGAGATGGTCGCAATGGACTTCATTGTGGACTTACTGCCCTCTGAGGGGTTTACTACCATTCTGGTAGTAGTGGATCGGCTATCCAAGATGGCCCACTTCTTACCAATGGTGGGTACTCCATCTGCGCCAGAGACTGCACTGACCTTCATCAAAGAGATTGTCAGGTTACATGGTCTGCCCAGTAATATTCTCTCAGACCGAGGGGTGCAGTTTACTTTCAGGTTCTGGAGAGCCCTCTGCAAGGCCCTGAAGGTGGAACTCTACCTATCGTCCGCCTACCATCCCCAGAGTAATGGGCAAACAGAGCGAACGAACCAGACTTTGGAGCTTCTCTACTTTTTCCCCGGATGATTTGGCATCCCTACTCCCATTGGCGGAGTTTGCCTACAACAACTCAGTCCTTTCTGCCACAAACCAGTCACCATTTTGGGCCAATTATGGATTCCACCCTTCCTGCATACCAGACACCATTCCTGAAGCTTCGGTACCCACAGTACAGGACAGACTCTCCGTGATACAGAACAACTTGAAAGTTCTGCGACAGTCTATACAGAAATCCTAGGCTTATTATAAGAAGCACTATGACAGGAAAGGGAGAGGAAACCCTCCTCTGAAGATCGGAGACAAAGTTTGGCTATCAACTGCCAACCTAAACCTCACTTGCCCATCACATAAGTTGGGACCAAGGTACATTGGCCCTTTCCGGATCAAGAGGGAAATCAATCCAGTGGCGTTTGAGCTGTTTCTTCCGGATTTATACAAGATCCATCCAGCTTTCCACGTCTCCCTACTCAAGCCAGCTGTTCCTGATCCTTTTCCAGGGAGAGTAGAACCATCTCCTCCACCGATAACAGTTTGGGAGGAAACGGAATACGAGGTTGAAGAAATTCTGGACTGCAGAAGGCAGGGAAGACAAATCCAGTACCTGGTCAGATGGAAGGGGTACCCACCTGAAGAAAGTTTCCTGGGAACTAAAAGGCAATGTACATGCCCCCAGGCTTCTCCAAGAATTTTGTTACAAATATCCTGAAAAGATGGCCCAGGTGGGCATCCGGAGGCTGCCCTTTAGGGGGGGCACTGTCAGGGTCCTGTCCACGGCAGAAGTTCTTGAAGATCTGTCATTTCTGCCAGTATCCTGCATGGCCGCAGAAGCACACATCAGCTTCAGTTTGGTGCCAGACGGCCTTTATAAGGAGGCTCATCACTTCCTCAATATGCTGGATGATCTCTAGCTCCCCATGCCTTGTTCCTGTTTCCTGTAACCTGTGACTTCATGATACCGACTCAGCTTGCTCCTGGACCTTTCTACTCTACTTAACCCCTGATCTGACCTCGGCTTGGCTAAAAGATACTTTCTCTCGCTCCTCTGTGTATGACCTTGGCTTGGCTAAAGGGCTGCTCTCGCTCCTCTATCCCATCTGACTACATCTGCTCTGATTCTCACCTGGTACCGGGACCTTGGCTTGAACCGGCTATCCAGTAAATCTCTTAAATCCTGGAAGGGCTTGCATACCTTGTACAGGTGCCACCTGTCTGCAGACCTATCTCCGTACATCAGCTGTGCTTCTGGGTGGACCACCAACCAGCACTCCTACAGGCGACCTGTACCACTTTGGACCTGACTCCCGCTGTCCCACTCTCAAGGGAGTCTGGAACT